CCGCTAGATGTTGGTAATGTTAGGCTTGCAAATCGTGCAGGGTCAAACTGTGCGCAGGATTTCTCCTAACTTGTAAGTCGAATAATTAAAACTTGAATACGATTACTGTAGTAAACTCAAAAACTAGGGAACTACGTAAGATTTTAAAAAAATATTCATTTTTGACGAAATGGTGACGATTTTACAAGAAATGTCGTATTTATCGATAAAAAACGTACATAGAAATGGTTGTAAAACAGAGAATCTGAGACATATCGAAAAACAGCTACGTACTTACCTAGAATTAGATAATACAAACTTTTGAAAAAAAAATCTTGAAAATCCGTTGAAAAATGTGAAAGTTATCGTGTGCACAAATTTGAAAAATGTAGTTTCCAGAAAAACGCGTTTAAAGTTTTCGAATGTAAAAACTTGTATATTTTTTCTAGATACATCTCATCAGCGATTCCTGTACCATACAGCTGTCCTTCCTGAAGCTTATTTTCATCTTCTGCAGCTTTTCTGTCTGACAGTAGGCTTCTACGAGCTTCTTTAGTCTCAGCAGTCATGGAGCGCTCAGCGCGCGCTATGGGATTTAAATCCGTTTCATGACAAAAGTCGAAGCACGATCTTCCAATTGTTAATTTCAGTGCTTGCATTATTTCCATAATGCTTGTAAGACCGTCATTAAAATTGCAAGCAGCTATATCAGACGCAATGTCAACCACTTTCTTGCCACTGTGAATAGTTTTTGGTGCGATAGACCATAACGCGGCGTTGTAACTTTCATTGCTGTTTTGCGTATATCCCCTTAAACATCTTCTCAAGAGATCTTCCCTTGATAGTTCTTCGTACACAGATTTCACTGCGTTGAAAACATCATTGCCGATTGCTGGCTTGTCGATTTTTGACAAAGCGTACGCTTTTTGCCAGGAACACCACGAGTCAGCACTAACTGCACAATTGTCATGCTTTGGAGTTTCATCTGTTGAAATTTTATGATACAAAGTAACCCAGATCTCTTTTTTCATGTCCTTCACGGAATCGCAATTTCTGCGAATAGCCAATCCATAATATAAGGAAAGTCAATCAATTAATTTTCCTTTGCCTCCTAATCCGCTGGCGTTTCTTTTTAGATTTCGTAACCGTGTGTCCATTCGTTTCTGAACGTGATCGACGCATTCTTTTTTGGTTACTATTACACTGTCATAGGGCTGAGTGTCCATAATACCTTTGAAGGTTTTGCTGTCTCCGTCTTCTACGTAAAAACAGTACTTTAAGTTATGTTTTTTTTCGTATCGTTGAAACATCTCTACGACGGAGTCTACTTCCATTTTTCCTGAAGATCCGACATGGTTTATATCACATATTTTTTTATGATCTTCCACCCAATCTTGAAATTCCGCACTATCTTTACCTTTCCAGTAACTACACTTTTTACAAATTTTTGACTTTATATTTGGAATTACCCCTTTGTTCGATAGAACTCGGGTAAAGTTTTCTACGAAAATGAGTTTTTGTGATGCTATTGTTTATTCAGGTACCCGAAAGCCTACTTCAATAGCGTTTTTGAAAAATGATATTTTATATTTTTTTTAACTTTTTTGTACAATAAGGTCAAAATACCTGCATATACAATGGATAAAAAATGAAACAAAAAGTGGTTACAGAAATCTTAGAATTTCCGGTGAGGTGTGTTACAAAAATCAATTTTTTAGGCAGAAAAACATTCCGCAAATGTTTTCTGTCAATGGATTCTCATTCTAGACAGTATAAAGAACACTTTTAACCCTTAACCCGAAACATAGGTCCTGTAAACAGTTTGAATTGTCATAGTGCAGTGTGATGTGAGTAGTAGACTCTAGAAACGTGCAGGTCTGTAAAACCAGTGGTTTCGAATTATAGTGAGGAGGTCCTATAGATCAGTGTTTCTAATTGCATATATATACTAAACAAAAGTAGCAACTAGTTTAGCAACTATGGATAAACCAGATCCTAGTTAGCTTTTGAACTGTTAGAACCTCATCTAAGGCAAATACTAACAACAAACCTTCCCGGGGAACTGCGGTCTAAATCTTTTGAGATTTGCACATCAAGTCCACAATGATGAAAATACTGTTCCTGATGATAAGAAAAACTTGCAGTATTTGTCTATCATCAAAAATGAGAAAAACAAATTATTGTTCCAAGCCAATTTCCTTAGAATGTAGTCGAAAAGTTTGTGTCACATGTATTCGAAATAGTTAATAATTATAATTTGAGCAGTTATTACTACGAATAAAGTTGTATATTTGAATTTTCAATAATCAAGGTCTGGTAGATGTCATGTTGCTTCTAATAAGGTTGATATTTCAGTGTTTTGGGTTATGAGTTAAGCAAAAAAAATCGATTTTTTTAAATTTCAAAGGTTGCATTCCCCCTTAAGATGTAGGACATTTCCTTTCGGAAATCCACAACCGATTCATGCTAGGACAAAATAAAACTAAAATTATCCTAAAAAAGGTTCAAACGGACCTAGACTGAGGGAAATTATTCTTGACTCTTAAGAAAAATTTATTCTTGAATGTATTTCTTAGAAACAAGTATAAGATACTCTTAAAACAAAAATATTTTTTTAGTAGTTTAGTTTAGTAGCTTTTTACCAGTAGTCGACCATTTCCTCCCTTGAGTCGACCAGTATAAGTCCAGTGGTCGACCGGCATTTCTTCAGTCTGCAGTCAACTTATTTTTTATAACTCGTAATATTTTTTCAGTAAATCTATATATATATATATATATATATAAATGAATGTTTGTCTGTATGTCCTTTATAGAATCGTAAACTATGCACTTGATCATGTGATGATCTTTAGCAAAGTTGTTGTGCATGGGCCCACGAAGGTTTCTAGAGGAGTCATTTTATTGATTTCTTCAAAATCAATAAAATTACTCAAAATGAATTGAATATTTGCGTAATGTCTTTCCTTCAAATTTATTTTAGTTGGTGGCGTAACAACGCGCGCAAGGTACAGCTAGTTTATTTATAAAAATCAATTAAATATTCATGTTTTAATTTTTTATTTGGTCTTGACAAGAACATATGCTCATTTATTAAATCAAAAATTATAAACGTAAAAAATCAACTTAAAAAAATTTACAAAGTAATGGAATCTTAACCACTACTGAAGAAATTAACTGATTTCTTATGACAAAATTAGGAGCAGAGCGAACACTTATAATTCCTAAACTCTTCTTCCTCGTAACTAAGTCCTATGAATATTATTGTTAATGCTTCATCAGCCTGTATAGCAGTGTTTCCAGCTATGTTTCCACTGTCACTAGATTTGAGGTCCTAGGAATTTGTGATTCTCACAAATAATCTAAGACAGTACTAATTTTATCTGCATCGATATTTTTTGGTTTTAATCTCTCTGTCTTTAAAACGACCTTTCTTTGTCGTATTTACATCTTCCATGGTAATTGAATCGATAGCTCTCAATGTTGTGTTTTTTAATCGATTCTGAACGCATTTTGTAATATCTTCGGCCAATCTCTCGGGTCTAGTGAAAAAACACCACATCGTTTAAAGCAATTTCTAATACTTTCTGGCAAAGTAGACAAACGTATGTAGAAGTGGTTCAATTCTCCGAATTATTGCGCGTGATTTTGACAGAGCTTCGGGCTCCCTAAAGACAATATTTTGTCGTCTACAAAATGCTTTAAACCATTTGTCCCTAGGCTTCAGTCTTTGAATTGTGTTCGTCATAGATAAATCTTTTAGCCACAAAGATAATTTTTTTCCTCTTCTTGACTGAGATACCCCCATAATCAAAGGCCTCATTTTTATTCTGCCTTTAAGCCTGTCTATCAGGCTAGTTTTGGGAATCTGAAAATTTCGAGAAGCTTCTCTTATTCCCATACCATCATGAATTGCATGTGTTAAAGATGTTTCTGAATATCACTCTTAGGAACACTCTACGTATTTTAAGAAGCGGTCGACGACTGGAAAACGTTTCGTACACTAACACTCCAGTAGTCGTCCACTGTGGTCGACTAATGGAAGCTTATATTAATTGTAACGCCTATGTTGTTTAAATAAAGTTGTTTTTAACAACTTTATTCAAAAAAAAAACCTTCAAAATGATAATTCCACCTGGAACGAAATCCGAAAACAAGTTCCTTCAAAATATCAAAATTCCTTCAAACTCACAGAATCTGAAAAAGCTAATCTTCTTGCGAAACACTTTACTCATATTCGTTTTGGACAAACAAAACCAAAACGTTACTCTATAAGACGATATATTCCAACAAGCGCAAAATATCCTTAAAATATTACACGACTTTCATCTCATTACCCTTTACGTTATTCATAATATCCTCCTCTAATACCTTCCTAGAAAAGCGATTATGCAACTCACTTACATCACTTGTTATATTCTCAAATTTGCTTCCATATCAAAAACAAACTGAGTAGGAGAAATTAATGTTTAAAAATTTCCAACTCAAACATTCCCCTTAAAATAAATATTAAATAGCTTATTAATTAACCATGAACAGAAGGTTGGGGAAGAAATTATCCAATGAGTACTAAATTTGGGTGTTATTAGTCATTACAAGCAATCATACTTTTAACTTGAATCGTTTTCGAAATGCGCCACACTAGAAGAAAGGCATTTATCGAATATTATCTTTCATAGTTATTTTAAATATAAAACCAAATTTCAAAATAATTCAAATTCTAACACCTGTAAGGCTAATTTACAGACATCCAGAAAATTATTAAAATTGAAGTAATAATGTCAGTTTAAGGCCCATTTTTGTCACCTCTTGATAAATTTATTCAACTTTGAAAATGGATTGCTACAATAGTGATGAGTCGTCATGACTTATAACTTTATCATATTTTGTATAACCCTTTTGTTCTAATGATAAATGTGACATCAGTCGCAATGCTTTCCTTATTTAAATAAATATTAATAAAATTATAGGGTTAAATAAATTCATACCAATTGTTTTTGAATTGAAAAATAAATAAGATAGAAAACGCCACAGATATGAATTATTATTATTAATAAATAAACGTACTAAATACAATTAGTATTATGTAGTAGAAATTACAAATTACGCCATGACAATGAAACTCAGGCTGCTAGTCACGTGCACTGCGCTTAGATTAACATATATTTGCCATATCATGGGACCGTGTGTGTGGTTTTTTCCTTTTTTTATCTTTATAAATCCTGTAATCGTTTCAGGGGAGGGGGGAAACAGGACGACAGAAAATTCAGGGGAATGTGCGGATTATCGTTCCTCTAATATCACAGTTTCTTTCGGACATAATTTCAAGTCCTGCAATGTCTTTGTGTTATCCAGGGTAGTCAACTGAAAACAAACAATTTTTAAAAACCATTTTCTTACAAAACAAAGTCTTACGTCTCGTCTAGGCCAGCTAGAAATCACTTTATACTCGTTATTTGGGTATCCTTGTACCGTTAAGTAATCCAAAAGAACTTTCAACTGCGTGTTTGCCAGGAACCTTCTTTCTAAATTTTTACCATTTGGCAGTCGAAATCGGATTTGCGTTATACTATCACCTTGTTCTGCTGAAGGTTCCGGCGGTAAACTTGCTTCCACTTCACGACGATATGCTTCTTTTTGGGCCAACTTTTCCGAACGTTCAGTTTCAACGCGTAATTTTTCTTTTGCCTCTGCTTCTGCTATTAAACGTTTAGCTTCTTCCTTCGCTCTACAAAAAATAATAATGGAATTTATAAATAGTTTGATTAACAAAGTTTAATTATTTATCAATTTTATATATAATTATTCTTTTTTATCTAGAGTAGATAACAAGAAAAACCCGAAACTTACCGATCCGCTTCCAAACTTTCCCTATAAGCCATATCTTGTTCCCATTTAACAAGTTCCCTCTCAGCTCTTTCTTGTTCTTCTTTTACTTCAACCCTTTGTTGATCAGTGAAGACATCAACAGCTTCAATTAAACTTGAAAGTAATTCGTTTATACCCACATTACCTAATTATTGAAGACAAATAATGAAAAGAATTAAATATTTACCAATACAAAGAGTAATCTATAATCAAATAAACGAAGAGCAAACGTAAATTTGATGTGTTAAAGTATTACAATTTAATTCTATTTATCTTTTTCCAACTCTTTGAATAATTCTTCTCTAATCACTTTGCCTATCCTATGAATTATTACTAATTGAAATAAAATAAATTACTTTTGCTCTGTGTCTATTAGTTTTGATTCACCTATATAATAACTACTAACCATAAATAACACTGTAAATATCTGTTGATGATCTAACTTTCATAATAATAATAATAGCGGGTAACTTATCGACAGGGATGTCTCTCAAAGACATTGCAGCTGTAGCCCCCATACAATTACTAACGGAATTCTGTAACCTTGTGCGATTGCTTTCAAACGTTAAGTCCCAACCCCAGAAAACGAAGTTTCTCTCAATCACTTGCATCACGCTTTCAACTCCCAAAAGTTGAGTGCAAAATACGTTTGAAAGTACGCTCGAATCGTGATGTAAGTAAATACCCAGGATTTTTTTCTGAAATTGAATAAAAATTATTTATAGATAAAATTTGAATAAAAAAATGATGAATTTACGTCTTTAGCTGGTCTTTGACAAGCTTCCTTAAGTGCATCCTCGAGCGTTCCCTGATAAAACTGAGGATGTATCGCACCATAACGTGTACTGAATCTTTCCACAAAACTTATACTGCCAACTATTTCATCTTCAATCATTTCTGGAACTATATAACAATAACAAATTAAATTCGTAGCATACAGTTATCTTTAGAATATACATGACTACATTGAGGTCTAACATTTATTTCACAAAATTTCAGGTATTTTGGTAATAATAACAAGTTTCGCAACAATATTCTTAAGAGTTGGAATGTTTTATAATATCTAAAAAGAGCTACTATGTTGAAAATTACTTCAGATGAAATATCATATTAATTGACAATTAGTAAGTACACAAATACTAATTCTTTTCATACCAAATAGATGAATGGTGGTTTAATGAGTTTGGTAATGATAACACAGTAACACCAAGAATAATATGTCAAGTGAGAATCAAGTTGAAGATCAAAATTATTGAACAAGAACGAAGAGAAGCGGCTGTTTTGTATACAAATGTGTTGTTGTTGTCAAAAGATAAAAAAAGAAAATCAATGCCAAATCGCTCGTTCTACGACTTCTAACTCCTTTGCTTCCAGATAAGGTGCCACCCACCCCATTTGAAAATACAGTCATTGAAATGTTGAATTTATATGGCGTTCGTTGATATACAGGATGTTTCGGTGACTCGGGGAACAAATGTAACCTAGTATACTAGAGTGAAAATGATGACGATTCATGTAAAAAAAATTAGTAAAAGTCCTCAAATTGCAAAGATACAGGCCATCAAAGTTGGGAAATTTTAACACATTTTTCTAAATATCTGAAACACTATTTATGGTAAAGTGTTGAAATTTGGTACAGTGTAAACTAATATCATGTAAAATCATTTAGGCAATTTTTGAGTTGGATCGGTACACGGGAACAATGCTATACGGGCTGTTCCTAAACTTTGTTTGCTCAGAACTTTTTTATTCTATCATAACCCTACATTTATTTTTGCAGTTTCTAATAGTAAATTTAGTTTAGAATCTTTTATCACTCTTAGAGAATATTGATAAAAACCACCGTTTTCGTATTAAATGCAAAAATGTTAGCTCCGAATTCAATAACACTAAAAAAAGAAATAAATAAATAATCTGAATTGGCAATGGCAAGAAAATCGAACTGAGCTGTCATAACTATTATGAATGCAACATGTCCAAGTGTAGATTTAGTTAAATCACATTTTTAATTTATTGGTTTAATAAAAGAATAAAAAACAATAAAAATCAACAAAAAATAAACAAAAAAACGACAATACTAACAGGAATAATAAAAACATACATAAAATAACAAGATAAGTAATAAAAAATACTAAAGGAAATGTTCAAAAACTTAGATTTCTTTTTTTTTAGTGCTATTATTGAAATCGGAACCCAACATTTTTGCATTTAACACGAAAACGGTGACTTTTATCGATACTATCTAAGAGTAATAAAAGTTTGTAAACTAAATTTACTATTAGAAACTGCAAAAATAAATGTACGGTTATGATAGAATAAAAAAGTTCTGAACAAACAAAGTTTAACAACCTGTATAGCATTGTTCCCGCTGACCGATCCAATTCATAAATTGCCTAACGATGTTACATGACATTGATTTACACTGTACCAAATTCCAACGTTTTACTGTAAATAGTGTTTAAGATATTTGGAAAAATGTGTTAAAATTTCCTAACTTTGATGGCCTGTATCTTCGAAATTTGAAGACTTTTACTAATTTTTTTTTACATGAATTTCATCATTTTCACTCTAGTATATGTGGTTAAATTTGTTCCCCGAGTCACCGAAACATCCTGTAGATACATTTAGTTGGCTTTTGATGGAATCACAATGCGTGCTTACTACTGATTACTGCTATTAGCTGATGTTCATATTTGAACTCTGCAACTTTAGTAATTAGTAATGTTGGACACTGCAGATAATAATCAAGTTCAACCCCAATAGGACTTTTTTCATTGAATACAACTTTATTTATATCAGGTTTGTCATTAGTAACCTCATTGTAACAATCCCAATACAATACTGGGTGTCCCTCAGAAGTGGCTCACCCCTATATTTTTTTTTATTATTAGTGATATAAGAAAACCATTTAGAATGAGTAGTTAGACCGTTAAAACGGATTATTACGACATGAAATCATTCTCTTTGTACTTCCGGTTATACCGGATGTGAGTACTAATTTCGCTATTTTTTTAAATCTATAATTTTTTTTTTAGTTGGGTAGACAACATAATTTCACATAACTTTTACTTGAAATATTTCGCGACCGCTTATAATTTTTGAAAAAAAAATTATTTTCGTTATTTTTTAACGTTACATTACAACTTTTGACGCACTACGTTATGTCCCTCTTGATTTGCTATTTCTCGAGCAGTGATCACTGCTATGCTTTAGTCAGTGGTTCTTTTTTAATAATGGTGTAAATTAACAGTTGTATTAAATTAGTTTTAAAAGAAAAACGCTATCCAACAATTAAATTTAATTCAATTGTAAGTTCAAAAAAACTAATTTTCTAAATTTTCAAAATGCTCCCGCCTCGATTTTGACATAATTGTATCTTGCGTATTGT